GCAGGGACAAACTTCTATAACTTAGCAAGACTTGGATGAACTAACTGAGCATGAAGAAGAGAGGAAGACTCCATAACTGCATCAACATGTGTAAAGGGACGAAGATGATAAAAACCATGAGACTCACATCCTGTGTCAATCACCTATTTCGAACTCCGGTCCTGTAAACATACAAAATTGTTGGTAAAAGAAACAATACAATCAAGAGAACGAGTTAGACGACTGATGGACAACAGGTTAAAAGGAGACCCAAGGACATAAAGAACATTATCAATGGTTAAAGAAGGAAAAAATTTAACAATTCAAACACCATGAGATGATACTCTAGAGTCATCAGTGAGTGTAACAGAAGGTAAAAGATTAGAAGAGGATAAAGAGGAGAACAAAGATTTGTTACCAGTAATATGATCAGTAGCTCTTGAATAAAAAATTCAAGAATCAGGAGAAGAGGATTGGGTCAGACTAGCAAAATATGTACCTGTGTGTACGATAAACGTAGTGGAACTAGAAGACTGTTGATCCTTATACTATTTGAGAAATTTGTTGAACATATTAGGTGTGTCAGATGCAACAGAAAAAGGAGGATCCCCAACAGACAAAGATGGGGAAAGATTGGTCTGAACAACTCCAGTAGATCGAGGAGGACGTCATGTAATGCATAACACTTATTAATCTTGCGACCTAACTTGCCATAATGTTCACACTTAGGACGTCATTTTCCTTATTTGTGAGGGCGAGTCCGATCATCACGGTGAGATGCCAACGCAGAAGAATCATTAACAAAATTAGAAGTAGTAGAAGGAGTGGAAGAAGTCATGAAGGGCGGGAGAACAAACCCTAAAAAAAATCCAAAGTAATTCAATCAACCCACGAAGCACAGATCCAAAATGAGAAGACCAAAACAAGTCCGTCGAGACTAAACGGCGCAACAAACAACGAATGACCAACTCCAATAGTGGTGATCTCAATGGCACGATGGTCGCCTAACCAAGACGAGCAAAATTGTATGTCGCCGGTAAAAAATGAAACTCTGATGGCGACGACGGCGGTGACAGCGGCATGAACTAGTACACTAGGTAAGTTCCCAGGAAAGAGAGGTGAGTCACACTAATGGACACACTTAAATACCAAGTCTTTCATTGTCAGAACCTTCCTAGACATGTACTTTCACACTACCAAATAATATCCAGTAACAAAAATAACTCTTTTCTGATGTGGAAGATCAATTTAACTGGCAGCGGCGGCGATGGCGGCTCCAACAGTGGACAAAGACGAAAAAATTTCAAAGTAACCTTAAGCTCTAGATACCATATTGAATATAGAGGAAATAAGGTTTGAGATTAATCTCCCTTGTGTATAAACCACACATAGAGTAATCTATTTATAATAGAGAAAAGTACAACTAAAAGAGTAACCGAAAGTAAACAGAATAAACAAAAGATATTGTTTGATATTGTAGTTAACAATATCTAATAATATCATAACAATATCAAACAATATTTAAACAATATATAACACACTAAAATACAATTTTCCACACATGTGACAACTTTCAACTTAGTTTACGAAACAGATGCCATGCTTCCCATTGAGGTGTTTGAGCCTATTGATCGAGTAGTTAGATTCACGGAGACACAAGACAAAGCTCACATATGAATTAAAGTGACAAAATGTTGTATAACCCTCACAAACTCCGCAAAAACTCGCCCTAGAGCATTCTGAGTGTCGGACCTTGTCTTAAGATGGGCCCAACCAAATCAAGTCCACAATAAACTCTCGACCCAATGGTTAGGCTCATTCCGTGTGACAAAAGTGATTAGGATGATGTGTATAAGTTAGAGACCCTTAGCGGGGGACTGATCCCTCAAACATGGAACGCTGCCGGTCTATAGTTGATTTACTTTTGTTTTAAAGTTCCTTCCGTGAATAAATTCTTACACTAACAATCTTGGAGGTTTTTTCTTCCCCCTCAGGGTTTTCCCTTCAAGTCAGCAAAATAAAATAAAAATATTGTGAGATGCTCTACACGATGATCCTATGAGGTCGTTTTATTCTGCGATGACCTTATATCTACTATACTTTATGCAACTAATAACCTAAACATAGTCTATTCATCACAAATAGTGAAAAAATAGAATTTCAGTATCAACATAACTAAGAAACAATAAGTATTCATCACAACCAACGAAAAAACAAAATTATAGTATTAACTTACCCACCACATTATCAATGTTTATACATACAATGCTTAAACAAAAGGCAAGTTCATGCTACACAATACTTAACTATAGAACGAGACACCCTTACTCTTCCTCTTCCACAATCCTCACATCTACCACACTTTTAAACAACCCCATGGTAGAAAGGTTAACACCAGGTAAGAGGATGACAATTTGTTCCATTGCACCGGAAAAACCAACCTGTACATATTTGCGATCTTGGTCTTTGTGGCATCTTTGGATTGTTGGAGATCGCTCTTCTCCTTTGCCAACAAAATTCTCTTCTCCTCCGTATAGCTAATCTCAACCTTATGAATTTGATGGAGAGCTTTGTGTGCCTTCCTCTTAGCCAACAAGTGAGCATTCATTTTCCTTTTGCACTTCGATTATAATCGCATGGGCTTTCACGGATTCATCCAACTTCTCCAAGGCACAAAGCTCGCCCGCCTCAGCCTTCTTCCTACCTTTGAGAGTGGAATTCGTCTCACAAGCCTTTTGCTAACTTCGCAAAGCAACAAAATTGGTTGTAGTTAGCAAACTCTACAACTTTAGAACCATCTCCACTCCACTCATGTGGGGAATTCAGGAAAGCATTTCCGCGAAAACATCTCCACAACAACCTTTAGTGGAGGCTTAGGGAGTCAAGGTAACCACAATTGCTTCAAACAAAAAAGCTACCTTTCGCTTCCGAGTCAGTTGAATGTTAGACTTGGTATGCTCGGAAGGCACCCTAACTATTAACACCTTACTGGACTGTTTTTTAGCAGCCATAGCCTCTTGCAAGCGGCAACTCATCTTCTTTGATAAGGCCATTTGTCTCTCTGCAATATCGGAAAAAGCCATAAGAAAGCTTACACTTCAAATACCAACAACAAATAGGATAGGGAAGCTACTAATATACATTTTAAGGTATATAACTCAAAATTTTAACTTAAGGAGCATGGATGTATCAAAAAGAATGTTCAATGGTTCGAGCATCATGCAATGTTTAGCAAGTTGAAAATGAGGTTTGACGGTCTAATAAAGGGGAAATCCCTCCACCAAAGTTGAGTTCGATTTAGTGGCACAAATTTTAACAAACCGACCCTTGAAATGTTTATAGGATAACTGAAATAGGGAAAGGAGACGTCAGTTAAGTACTCTGCTTACAAAGACCCAAAAAGTTCTCTTGGAAGTTTGACAGTAAAAAAAATATAAAAAAACATATTTATGGATGGCACAACACCAAAATGGGTGGAGAGAATATCGAATGCACGAACAAAAATCAACTACTAAGATATAAGTGAACTGGGGCAAAGGATCATCTTTTTATCCATACAAACTGGTTCAGCAGAGTTACACACTTTGAAAACTAAATCTTTATCATTACCAAAAAGACATAAAGATTGACTATTTTGAAGGCGTTTTAAGAAAATATAACCAGAGGTTTTGTGGAGGATTTCAACAATAGCCCAAGAATACAATATAACATCACTGATTTCCTTAATCTCTTACCAGCCATGCTCTCCTTGGATAAACCAACAAAAATAGTGAAAGGCACACGGGATTGACGTTTGAGCTTCTCAAAAAGGACAAAGATGGTAAAGAAATGATACTTGAGCTTTTTAAAAAAGACGAAGACGGTGAAACGATTGAGCATAGGTCAATTCATCCTAAAAACTGAATAATATCAAAATGACATGACTGGTTGACTTAGTTAAATCCTTGACGTGTGATACTTGAAATCAGCTATGTAAGTCACATCGTCATATGATTAAGGTATGAAATCAGCTAATCTCCAAATATCTGTCTTGTAGAAATATAATGAAAATTTTTCCAGAAATCGCACCTGTTACTTAAAGAATCGCATGTCATTACATATAGAATAATAACCAACCATAGAAAAGCTCGGAAGAGGATTGGAGTACGCAGATAAAAAAGAGTTTTAAGATTGGGAAGAAGCAAGATTTTGTTACTTAGAATTCTATCTCGAACATCAAGCATATGCTTAATGCATTTTGACATGAGTATATGTGGATTAATATTTCCCTATAATTATTTATCTCTACTTCATACTTTAGATTCTAATTTTATATAATATTTAGGAGGATAAAATATTACATCTTGAAACAAAAATCTCCGTTACGTTTGTATAAATAAAATTATACGAACATATTTTTCGACTTATTATTTGTACTAGAAAGGACCTTTTAATTTAATGCAACTGAATGAAATAGTTATATAACCTTTTTTATAAAAATCCTTAGTTTAATATATGCTATTAAGTAAAAGAATGTAAAGTTTAAAATAAATCAATAAATAGCTTCATCATCTTTCTTTGAGAAAAAAATGTTAAAAGTTTAAAAAAAAAAAGAAATTACAAGTAAATAACATCCATATTTGTTTTCGTTACAACATTACTAATAATGGATCAGTTTGTTTAAATTTAAAATAAACCTTTTTTACATAGTAATTTTTATAGAAAATCATTTATTTAAGAAGCAAATATGATTTCCTTCTTAAAGTATATATATATATATATTGAAAGGGAACAAAACCATCTCTATCACCCGTTTAGGGTGCACATAATGTAATACTTTTTTTTTTTAATAAATAAATTAAGGGGCGGTGTCTAGATCAGATATTGCGTAAGGAAACTTGGTCTTCTTTCCTTTGGGGTTAATTTGTTAATTTAAGCATGCGTCATTATTATGCTTCAAGGACAGAACAGAACCTAGAGGGCAACAAGAAAAATTGATTAAGAAATCGTTGATAATAACGATAATTACATGATTTTCACAATCAGCTTTCCTTTCTTTTCCTACGTGTTCGTGTTGAAGGGGTTTCAGATGAAGAATCCAAACCAAAACATTTGAGAAATGCTACCGTGGCTACTTGAAAATAATGGCATGGGTGAAAATACAGTGATGAATCTTCCTCCTCCATAATCTCCTCTTCCCTTCTCATGCTTGGACCAGTTGCTATTTCTCCTTCTATAACTACATTCTCCTTACCCTGTTACCATACTCAAAGTCAGTGCAAATGCCTTCTTAACTCACCTCTTTCTAATTATAATGCATCAACTTTTAGTAAATAATATGAACTAGAGTTCATGAAAGTAGGATAGAATAAAACCTATACACTTAGATATGAAAACAAGAAAACAATTCACCATATCTTCATATTTTCACAATCTTTATTGTGTGAACTATGACATGATCTGTTCAATCTTGTTGTGAGAAGATTGAGTGAACTTTCATAAACTTTATTTGAACCTTACTTATCTAGTGTCCTTTCAGAAAAAGGGTAAGACATTCTTTCACAAACAAAATCAAATCTCAGCACAACATATAATGTTGGTCAACATACACAAGGCACACACATGCTAATTTTAGATTCAATATCAAACAATAGCATTCAACATTTCCCAATTATCACTTAAATCCGGTGTTTTGTTATCAAATACAAGTCACCAAAATTTAAGCGCAATGTCTTAGAAATGTCCTTTGATCTTTACATACCAAAATTAGAATTTCATCTCTGATACCCGTGTAATATTGGTGAACACTAATTATGTTACTACAAACATATCCAATTTCAACTTCTCCTGCCCTTGTTTCTTCTTATTATTAGAAATATTTCTTCCAGACCGTTAACAAACTTCTCTTACAATAAATAAACCCCAAAATCAAAATATCATATCCAAATAAGCAAATATCAAATGCAGCACGCCTGGGACAGGATGGTCATATCCATTTTCCAGTGCAGACACCACCATCACCAACCTTAGGAAAACGTAAAATGACTAAAACTCAATCGAAGAAAAGCTGGACTGCATCGAGTCCCAAAGATGAGCACAAGTTTGTGCAGCAAAGCAATTTTCTCACTTTTTCCCTCCCAGTTAAAGGATGCAACACGACCAATTTAGGGCAATAACACACAAATTAGTCAACAAAACTGATCCAATTGATAATAAACGAGTTCGATTTTCACTAAAGACAGGATCTTGCTGAATCTGAGACCTAACCATTTCATCTAAATTTTTTTATTTTGTTTTAAATAATAATAAAAAAAAAAACAGATCTATATTTTCCCTTGGTTACAGGATTTCCAAAACCGACCTCAGAAAGAGAACAAAAAAAGTTCCTTTCGTAAAGTTTTGAACTTAACTAAGCAATCAACCAGGAATAACAAACAAGTAGGAAATCAACAAAAGAAAGAAGACAAGTACATGGATTTTTTTTTTTTCGTGCAGTAAAAGCGAAAATTAAAATCTAAAAGATAACTTGGTGAGAGAGAAAAGTGGGTGACCTGCAGCTTCCGGTGCTGTTGAAGAGTAGTTGTTGAATGAGAGGGTGATGAACCGTGAATAGCGACAGGCAACTCAATCTGCTGAATATGGTCAAAGAGGAACACATTGGAAGAGGTCGAAGAAGGAGGGGTGTCGGCGTTGACGAGGTTGTCGTCGGGATCCAAAGGGAAGATAACGAAGAAAAAGAGAAGTGCGAAGAGGAGAAGAAGAAGAACAAGTAGTTGAGTCAAAATGAGCCATGGAATTCTGTTGCTCTCTACGGTGAGGCCTTCCTCACCGAACCCGAACATGTTAATCTGGGAACATGGGTTTCGATTCGATGATAATAGAGAGAGAAACCGAAGAGAAAAGTTGCAATTTTGCAACTGTAACAAACAACGTTAAGAAAGAAATTTAAGAATGAACGAAACGACGACGCACGGGCGCTTCCTTTGGACTCTCTAGAAGGTAAAGAAAGCGAAGCAGAAGTAATAAATAAAATAATAACGAGGGTGCCTGCGTCACGCGCCCCTCCACGCATCCTTCAAAAAATGAGAAACAACAACAAATAATGCTTTAAAAGTGAAGTTAATTCATTTACGCACTGGATTTTGTTTAAAAAAGTATGCAAGTGAAGGTGTGAAATCATGACAGTGATGCATTTCTTCTTTAAATAGTTTTTTGGCTTTATAGTGCCTTTTAATTTTAAAAATAAAGATACTCTTATATGAACAAAACAAATGCTTAAATTTGTAATGATATAAAATTATTACCTCGATTAAATTTAGATTAAATTATTTATTATTGATGTTTACTTATTTAAAAGTTTAAAACGATAGTGTAGGTTAAATAAATTTTAACTAATCACACATGCATTATAAGCTTAAATATGTTTTTAAACATATTGTCGTGTTTTATTTTTAATTTTGTTAGAATTTTTGTACTTTTAAATTGATATATTTTTTAGTTTTTATCCTTATTTATCTTAAAATTAGAAAATATTAAACAAGATAATAAATGGTATTTTAAATTAACATAAATAAGTTAATTTAAAATTTTCATGATTCAATCAAATAATTTATTTATTATTTTTCAATAATGAAGATGGTCATATATAATAATTTTTTTTAATATATTATGAACATAAGTTTATATTATTTTTTAACTACCTTAACTTTTTTTCGCACAATATTATTCAAAGAAGGTGATTAAAGAGCATAATTTAATTACTTTTTTTATTGTTTTTAAAGAAATAATACAATTATATATAATATATTTTTAGTTTTTAATATATTATGAACAATAATTTTATATTAATTTTTTTAAACATCCTTACTATTTTAAAAAATAGTATTTTATATTCTTGTTGAAAAAAAAAGATATATAATAAATAATGATAAAAATAATTGGAATGAATCAATCTTGATCAAAGACTATATAATCTGTTTGAATGAGAAAAATATGGGGTTGTATCTTAAAAAATATATCAGACATAATTTATATACTTCTTATAATATTATTTTAAATATTAAATGTTATCTATTAATGTTAATTATTATATATTTAATATAATATCAAATAAGAATATTTTTTATGTATTATTGTTATAATGTACATTGAATGAAAGATACGTGATATAATAATCTTGAGAGGAAGAATTTATATTTTATAATTATATATTTATATAAAAAATATCAGAAACAAAATATATTTAATAGATCATGAAAAAAAAGATATTATTTTTTAATCGAATAATAATAATAGAAAACACAATATTATTTTTTTACATTATAAATAATTTTAATATATTGCAGTAATTTTAAAAATATCAAACATATTTCATAATTTTATTATTTTTATATTTAGAGTTAAAAGCATCGTTTATGAAATATGAAATATATTTACAGTTATATAAAATTAGAATATGAAAAATAATATATAGAACTATAAATGTCTTAAAAAAATTATAGTTTCTTTAACGAAAATGCAATGTTAAACTAAAGTTATGAAAAAAAGGTAAGAATAATATATATATATTAGTTATATTAAATAATAAATATATACTTAATTGAATTAAACATCCGAAAATAAATTCATTATTTCAATCTAAAATAAGAGTTATTATTTTAATTATCTTAATAAATATTTTCTATTTTTAAGATATTTTAAAATTTAATTAACGTTGATATTTATCAATTACTTTCATTCAATTATAAATATTTCAAAAGTTTATTTTCAAATTAAAATTTCTTAAACATAAAAAAAAAAAGACAATAAATAAGTCTGTAATAAATATCTTAACTACGAATTTAGATGGATAGTTTTTTTTTTTTTTTGAGATTAGGTTTATTTAGAAAAACCATTAAAGAAAAAAAACAAAAGTGTGGGCCAAACAAAAACCAATAACCATCAAGGAAAATGTTATGCCTCCATAAAGAGTCATTCAAACATACCAAATGAAACTAGTCTATGTTTGCACATTGGTTCCCTCCTTCTGTGCACAAAAAATATGAAAATCCTTAAGCTTAGTCATCAAGGAACTATTTAGTCTCTAACCATCAAGATAGAATCACGTTTAAACAAAAAAAAAATATCCACCACCATTTGTTATGAGCAATTTCAATATATTGAATAACACTCATCATTTTTGCGAAATAAAATCATCTTTAACTCCTAAAGATTTTTAATATATAACTTATCATGATAGGAGGAGCTAGACAAATTAAGTCGGGTGACCAAATTAAAAAATATATTTCTATTATTTGAAAATAATAATTACTTTGTAAATCCACAAATTTTAATAAAAAATTTAATACGTAGGATTTTTTTTTAAGGATGTAGGGTTACTTTATAAATTGGTTTTTTTTTTTATATACACATCGAAATAAGTTTATTTGATTTAGAAGATAAGTTTTGATTTGACTATTTCTATTATATATATATATATATATATATATAATTAAAATGAGTTATTATTTTTACATCATTAAATTTAAAAATTAATTATAAAACCAATTAGAAATTTAAAATCTCTTTTCTCTCTATATATTTCGTTATATTATCATGGTATTAGTTTTTTTTTTATAAAAGACAACATATTAATTTAATAACTAAAAAAAACTGAAATGCTGTATAAATTTTGATATTTTTTTTATAGTTTTCATAATTCTAACAAAATAAAGTAGTATAAATCTAATTCAACCAATCTTGGTACGAAATTAGATATAAAAAAAGATGTATACACACCAAAAAATAAAATAAGATCAATATGAGTACAAAAACTTAGAATATATTGTTTTAGAAATGATGAAACACTTAACTCAATCTTATAAAATCGATCCAAGTATAGTGATTATTGTATTCACCTATATACTATATATTGTATTTTTAGTTGATGTGAGATTTCATCACATTCTCTCACTTTTCTCATATCTCAACATCGTTAGAGTAGACTATAATACCATAATAGAAATGGTGAGATACCTAACTTAATCCTACAAAATCGGCTTAGTATGTTAAAAATTGTACTTACTATATATTATGTTATCAAGCAAGATTTTTTATCATACGGAAGAAGATTTTTTATTAGTTCATGAGTCTTATATTATTTAGAAGTCGATATAAATGATAACTTATATATAACTTCATCTCTTAATCTATTAAGATGCCTTTTAAGAAAAAACAACGACGAATTAGAATTCTAAAGTTAATAATACCTTAAACGTGATAATTGACTATATCAATGCTACCATAGTAAACATGACACTAAGATACTATCTAATTCCTAGACGAAACATTAGTGTCCACCATGAGATCGAGAGTAGAATATCGCTCCACTCATATATATCCCCTTAGTCCTCGATTGGGGGACTATGTTTTGATACGTTTATGAATTTCATATCGCTTAGGAGTCGAGATCAAAATAGTTTATATACATCATCTTCTTTTAACCTATTGAGACATCTTTTAAAAACAAAATCGTGACAAACTAGAGTCTAAAAGGAATAATACCTCAGATGTGATAATGAACCATAACAATAATCTTAACGGACATGAAATCGAGATAATCTCGTTCCTAGACAAATAGAAGGGTTTTTCTTATATACTTATTATATTTTTATGTCAATAAAATTTATTTATTTATTTATGAAGAGAAAAAAGACATATATTTGGAGGACTATGACCTCAACAAAGCTTTAAGGTAGCTCCTCCATCACAAATGTTCTATGATTTCTAAAGATACCACCCTCCCTTTAACAAAACACATACTATTTCTACTATGCCAAAATTTGAATTTCAGCCACAAATTGATAATGGCACTTTGCAATATATTATATATAATTTTAAATCTTAGTAATGTGAAATGAAATAACTTTACCAATTTTTTCTTATATAATTATTGTGTTTTTGTAAACATAAGCCCATACATTAACTTTCTTAGAGGAGAGAGGTCATTGTCTCATCTCAATTTTTGAGGAATATTTTTATCAAAATAATTTGTAAACATTTTTTCACGTGATCGGTGAGTATATGATTGAAAACATGTTTTTACGTGTTTGTGGAGGTTTAATTTAAATATAAAATAAAATGCTATTTTGAATTAATGTGCAATAAAAACCTGTTTTTGTTGTCTATTTTGAATTAATTTATCACATATTTGTGTTGTGCAACTTTAAATGATGTCTTTTTATAGTCTTCTTACAACATCTCTTACATTTACTGCTATCTAATATCGTACCTAAGAGGAAATATAAATAAGAAATAAAAAAAGTTTAATGTTGAATAAAAGATTTTTCATAAGCTTCTTGACAGAGCTTCCTTCATCTTTATTCTGTTCGTGGAATGAAAAATTACGGTTTGAAGCATTCAATATATTACTATTATAAAATAAATCATACTATTTATCTTCTCTTTCTAGAATTAGAAATTTTGAGAAGAAGAGATGTTTCTTTTAAATATGTGAATAAATGCATTTCGATTTTCTTTCTTGCTGATGGACACGTCTTTTAAGTGATAAAAATAGGTGATGCATTTTTGCACTTTCTCGTGGAGGATCGCGATTCTCGGTGATACAACAAATTATATGCGTCACGAGGGTACATGCATTCAACTCAGATTATGAAGAAAGTTTGATTAATCAAAATGCTTAACTAAATATATAAGATTTTTTGTGTTAAATGAAAAGAGTGAAGTTTGAAATATGAATAAGGTTAGAGTAAATAATAGAAGCTATTTAAAGGGGATGGATGAAGAGAATGGAGAATGAATATGATGAATAGGTGGTGAAGGAGTAAGCAGATAAATAGGAGAAGTGTGTGAAGATGGATGCGAAGCCGCAAAAGCAGAAGAAAAGAGAACGTGGAGTTTCCAAAAGTTGAAAGAAAGAAAGAAAGGACCTTTGTACCTTCCTCTGTCTCTCATGGCAATCATCTTCTCTTCCTGCAGGTTCGTCAAACCCAACCAATGGAGGAGCCAGGATCTGAACCAGCACCAACACCACCGCCACCACCACCACCCCCAATCTCCCTCGTCCAACCCTCCCAAAAAAAGCGTCTCAGACCCAAAGTAATTCGTGTCTTCCGCTCCGTCTTTCGCTCCCTTCCCATCATAACGCCCTGCAAGTTCCCCTCCATCCCAACCGACACCAACAACCACCATAAAACCGTCAACAACGGCACAAAAGTCTCTGGCACCTTCTTCGGCCGCAGCAAGGGCCGAGTCAGCCTCTCAGTCCAGGAAAACCCCCGCTGCCTCCCCACCCTCATCGTCGAGCTCTCCATGCAAACCAACTCCTTGCAGAAGGAAATGGCCGCCGGAATGGTCAGGTTGGCGCTCGAGTGCGAGAAGCGTTCGGAGAAGGACAAGACCATGATCGCGGAGGAACCCTTGTGGGCCATGTACTGCAACGGGAAGAAGAATGGGTACGGCGTGCGGAGGAACGCCACGGAGGAGGACTTGTACGTGATGGAGGTTCTGAAGGCTGTGACGATGGGCGCCGGTGTGCTTCCGTTGAAATCCGAGGCTGATGACGGCGGCGGCGACGGAGGAGAGTTGGCGTACATGCGAGCACCGTTCGAACACGTAGTGGGCTCCAAGGATTCCGAGACTCTGTATATGATGAGCCCGGACCTGCAGGGTAATAGTGGTCCCGATCTTACTATATTTTTTGTCAGGGTTTAATTCAGGATCAGTTAAATAATGTAAGTGAGTGGTCGTTTTTGTGATTTTGATGAGGTTCACATCTCAGGGTTCATAGGATTGATGAGATCCAGGTTTAGGGGACGTTGTCATCGAAGTTATTGTATCTACTAATGCCTTCATGTCTTGTATATTTGTGTTTCTCTTTCTCCTTTTTTTTGCTTGCTTTATGATACCAGGTGAAGTTGATGAAACTCACCTTACAGTTCTGAATGACAAAAATGAAAGAGGGAGGTGGAAACTCGAAAATGATACAGTGGGGTCAAGCTTGCAACTCAGTTTCACCTGAGAAAATAACTTCCTGCCACCATTAAATAGGCTAATAAGACTTTTTGTTTACTTTCACTTTAGAGCTATTCCTATTCTCTGTTTTAGGTTAGTGATTTGTTGTATATAGTATGAAAACATAGTATACATTGTGTTGAGTTTACGTCAATCCCCACTACTCCCTGCTCATATACAGATAAAGATCAACATATACCCAGAATTTGAAGGCACCCACTCCTCATTCACTGAGTTGATCTTTTTTTTTTTTTTATGTCAATTCATTCTCATTTGTTGATCCCTTGTAGAAACCTTACTAACTGGAGAAATAGTTGCCCGTGTGTCGCACTGTCCTTGTTGAAAGCAGACATTACGTACTCGCGTTGTCTTCTCTTGTCGTTGCCAGTGTTCTATTCTCCTCGTCGGCATTGCGTTGTCGTTGTCGACGCCGCCTTTCGGTCATCAACGTCCGCATTGTCCTGTGCTCGTTGGCGTTGAGTTCTATGTATTTGCGCTGTGTCCGCATCTGTTATCGGTGAGTGTTTAATTCGGGTCCAAAAACGTTAATTTGTTTGAGGGGATTCAATTTTTGGGTAGTTGTATTACATGTTTAGGGTCTTGTCCTTGCTTGATAGATTAGTTCATAGATGTCAGTCTGTTGAAGTTGTTATTCAAATTCTAGACACCGAACTGTTATTAAGGTCGTTGGTTGTGTAGCAATTATTATTTATCATAATGTGAAAGTCTTTGAAATTTTGGGAGAATGCTAGCTTGATTGATGGTTGAGTCATTGGTTTATGTCCAGTGATAGTGCATAGAAGGTGTTTGAGTTAATGAAGCAAAGAGATATTGTAGCCCAACGAAGGCTTGACTCTGTTTAGAGAGATGAGTGTGTATGGCGTGGAGGTCGACGTGTGGCTGATTTGTTCTCTGCTTGTGTTGAGCTCGAAGTTGTAATTGTCATGGTATACGAGTATCAATTTGGGACTTTCTATACAGACGAGTGATATTAACAAAATACATTTATTAAACAACCTTATTTATTAATATTATATTTATAAAATTATTGAATTAAAATTGATAAGAACAGAATGTACGGTTATAATGACCGTATCATGCGTAAATGATTTTAACTTCCATATTTATTTAGCATGTAATGTATAATAATTAGATATCTAGATAGAATAATATAGTGTAATTTTAACGTAGATTCATTATATATTACCATATCATGATCAATATAGCACGACAGTTTTGGAATACAGTTTACCATGGTATTAGAGTTAATCTAACTACGATATCCAACAACCTGAGAACGCATTTGCACTGCTGAAATATTTTGAAAATGCAAATACATAGTTACTAAAATTTTTGAGGACGATAAAAGAATAAGGAATTTCAAGATTAAAAGATTTATATATGTTTGAAATTATTTCTAATAATTCTATTTTGTCATTTTGAATTTGTAAAAATATAGTATATGATAGCTAGCATTTAATCTGTCTATAAAAACTTTATTTTTATCAAGGTCGCATTGGAATAATCGATTATCACTTAGGATAATCGATTATTTTAGATAAACTTTAGTTTTTCTGAGAGTGACTCTAGAATAATCGATTATCTTTGTGGATAATAATTATTTATGGTTGTTAAAGATATAAATTCAAAATTGGCTTTGAAATAATCGATTATCACTCAAGATAATCGATTATCCTGGACAAAATTGATTTTCTTATATTGACTTTGTGATAATCGATTATTACTAATGATAATCGATTATTTGTGTCAGTTATGAATTTGAATTTCGAATTTTAGACCTAATTTTTTAAAACCCTAAAACTCTATTTAAAAGAGTCTCGTGCACTCAGCAAAGTGACAAACCTTTTTCATACTTAGAAAAGTTAAGAGCTGTGATTGCTGGGAGAACTTTGAGTAGGGAAGAAAAATGGACTTTGAAAACCTAGTGTGTGCTAGAAGCGATAAGAATCATTGAGTGAGATTTTCAGTGGATTGAGTGTTGTGTCATCTCTAGGAAAATTGTCTTCATCCTTTGTGGCTTCAAAGGAGGTGTTCATCTCTTGTGTGATTCTTTGTAATATGTTTATCGGAGAACCATTATTTTAGTGACTGAGTTAATTCTCTTTTTGAGTGATTAACCACTGAACGTAGGATCTTTTGATCCGAACCAGTATAAATTACTTGTGTAATCTTCTTCCCTTATCTCTTTACTTTTCAAGTACTCTATTATATTATCGTTTAATCAGTAAAATCTTGCATAAAATTTTTAAAGGGATAATTATTTATAAAAAACCAATTCACCCCCTGGTTTTTGTCTTAATGCAAACATTCCGTTGCGCGATACCATCAATTGGTATCAAAACTTGCTTTGATAGTTTTTCAAATATTTGAAAATGGCCGGACAAAACCAAACTTTTGCTGAGGGTGCCTCTATTAATAGACTCACACTTTTTGCTGGTCAAAATTATCCTTTCTATAAAGTTAGGATACAAATATTTTTGGAGTCTGTTAACAAGAGTGTTTGGGAAGGTGTCGTAAATGACCCGTTTATTCCTAAAATGATTGTAAATTAAGTAGAGGAACCAAAACCCTTTTTTAGATGGACTATTGAGGAAAATAGAAAGACACAATATGATGTTAGGGCTAGAAGCATTATTTCATCTGTCTTTACCCTTAATGAGTTTTTTACAAGATATCAGTATGGAAAAGTGCTCAGGAGATGTGGGAAATACTCAGAGTGACTCATGAAGGAATCGACAATGTGAAAAGAGCAAGAAATAACTTTTTGATTTAAGAATATGAAATGTTTAAGATGCAATAAGGAGAAACAATTTTTGATGTCCAAAAACATTTCACACACATTGCGAACCATCTCTCTGGGTTTGGTAAAAATTTTGGTATTGATGAATTGAATGTTAAAATACTAAAATATTTGGACAAGAAATGACAACTCAAGGTGATTGTCATCACAGAATCACAAAACCTAGCAACTATGACAATGACAACTCTCTTTGGAAAATTGAGAGAACACGAGTTTGAACTAGGAAGATTAAATGATGAGGAAGACCAAAATATCAAGAGAAACCTAGCTTTTAAGACTGAGGTCTCAAAAAGCAAGAATAAGAAGGAAGAAGAAGATCCTGAAAATGAAGAAGATGAGAACTTAAGTCTCATGATCAAGAAGTTCACTAAGTTTATGAAATCAAAAGGAAAGCAACCTTTCAAAAGCAAGAGAAAAGAAAAAGAAGGATTTTCATCAATTTTCAAATGCTATGAATGTGGTGAAATAGGGCATGTGAAAGCAAATTGTCCAAACAACAAAAGAGGTGATGATTCAAAAGGAATAAAATCTTTTAAAAAGAAAACTTACATTACGTGGGAAGATAGTGACTCTAGTTCAGAGTCAAGTGATTCAAATGTTGAAGCAAATCTTTGCTTGATGACTAATAACAATTACTCTTCCGATTGTGAGGTGAGTGATTCTACTGTTCTTCTAGTGACAATGAAAATGATTATGATGAATTACATAATGCATATCAAGAACTGTTTACTGCTTTTAAATATTTGAAATCTAAACATAAAACCCTGAAAAAGAGTTTGAATAAATAAGAAAAGGAAGTAAAATCTTTAAAAACGAAAATTGTGTCTTTAAAAGAAAAAGAAGATGAACCAATTGCATGTGCATCATATAAGAACTATGAATTTAACATATGCATACTTGAGCATTTACTAGAAAATGCTACAAAAAATATGTGTGATTGTAAAAAGGATGAAAATCAAAATTTTGTGAAAACTGAAGCTAATAGTCATGTTTCTTTGAAAAGAACGAAAAATCAAAGAACCCCGCAGAGTATGGGTTGTGAAAAGAACTATACCTCCACAAAATAAAGTTAAATCTTGTTCAAAAATAAAATCATCAAATACATGTTTTTATTGTATGAAAAAGGGGACATACTTCAAATAATTTTGGTATTCCTAAACAAAAATATATTTGAGTTCCTATAATTAAATAATTTGATTGGCTTTAATCCTAAGGACTCAAAAGTTATCGGGACCTAAAATTATTGTATTCTTATTTTATAGGTAATTTTAAAATCCAAGAAATTTATGTGGTACCTTGACAGTGGATGTTCAATACACGTTACTATGATAAAAAAAATTTTGTAAAAAATAATTATCACAAATGTACAACGTATAAGTAGGCATAAAGTATAATTAGGTATTATTCGTCCCATCTCATCGTTATTATATCTTTTGTGAAAGATATTTGCAACGTTAATGATACTTATACTGATAGAGTGTGTGATTGATTGTTAAACTATATTTCTTGATGACGGTGTATATATAAGATCCAACGTGAATGACGAAGAATTAATAAAAAATAGTAAATGCATAATTAAAAAATTTAAATAGATAAAAAGTTTTAAATCATATTTCACAAAATTGTTTTTTAAAGTAAGAAAAAGAAATATAAACTTAAAGATTAATTCTATATTTAAAAAAATTATATTAGACAATATTTATATGAATATAACAATCATCCAAAATAAACTTCGGCCATATCTAATTTTAAAAAAATAGAAATTAAAGTATAACAAAAATAATATAGAAAATATTTATACCAATGTTGAATGATTTTTAGTTTGGTGGTATTATTTAATAAAAATAATACGCTCAATACTTAGATTTCATCATTTATTTAAACAATTTAATTTTTTAAATATTGTTTAAAATTTGTAAAAAATAATTATCACAAATTTACCATATATTTTCAATTCATTATACAAAAACATATAACGAATAATCACATTATAATATTTTTGAAATAATTTCTACAATTTTATATTATTCATAAATTATTCTAAAAAATATGAAGTATAAAAATGTCTATAAAATATCATAAGTTTATTTGTTTTAATTTTATTAAATAATTATTTTGTATTAAATCATATATTAATTTTAATTTATTCTTATTAAAATTATATAAAGAAATATTAAGCTTTAAGCTATAATTGATGGTAAAAAAAGAAAGATTCACCTAAAAAGATACTTTAAATTTATATAAAAAATAAGAATAATATAATAATAATATATAAAAATAAGATGATATAGAAATAATACAATAATCTCATATATAAAATTCTTAATAAGTTATATTAAATAATAAATTACATCTGTATCAATATTATATAATGTATAAAATTTTCTATTTTATAATTAAGTAATTAAATATATTATTTTATTGATTATTATTATATTAATGTAAATTTAAGAGGAGTTGTATAACAGAACAAGAGGAGTTACAGGAGAGAATATTTTCTTAGGTTGTTTATATAATATTAGTATATTTTTTTTCTAGCAATTTAAAACTTTTTACAAACCATAATAATAATAAAAAAACTAAAGTGAGAATAAGAAAATTAATTTTAGGCTTCATTTGGATTGAGAGTGAAAATGAGGAATCATGTATGTTTCTAACTATTTGTGTTGATTTGAGAAAATGGATTAGTAGATCCATTATACTAGAAATACTTTCATATATACAAAGAAACTCAAGAAAATATTGTGAAATTTCTCTCCCGTCCCTTAAAATAAAATTTTCTCTCACTCTCGTGTGCATCTTCATGAGAATTTTATAGAAATTCTATAAGAAATTTACTGCATTGAATAACTAATACAATTAAAGAAAAGAAATATTACAATTATCAATAATGCACCCATTGATATCAATTATAATAAAATAAGTAATCAATTATGCTTGTTTTCTTGATGCATGTCTGATTGATAATCAATTATAATAAAATAAGTAATTGATTATGCTTGTTTTTTGTCCCATAATCGATTAGACAATATATATACTTATGTTATATCTTATAGTGATATTTTATACAGTAAATATGTGCTAAATCAATAATTTTATCATTATTATGTTAATCTTAAACTTTCTTTAAACTAAATTAATAGAATTTATGTCTATTTGTATTTTATA